TACTTGATAGTGTTTTGATATTGTAAGAAGAAATTCTCTATTGGTCAGAGTTTAGGGAAGGTTTGGTTTATGAAGAAACAGTGAAAAATGCTTTGGAGAAGAAAGAGTTTTAACCCTTCACAATTAATAAGTTTAGTAAATCTCCTTCCAACCTGTTGGGCATTAATATTTAATTAAAACTCACGAGAGCTGGTTTCATTTCAAGATTCCACACCCTTTTTGCATTGATATTTAAGGAAAGGTTACCAAGCTCTCATCAGTTTATCAACTATCCAATCCACCAGACAGCCAAGTTTTTCAAAGAGAGAGAGATTATCACTGTTACCAAAGTATTAAATATAAAACATGCCAGGGATGATTCTTTGGCACTGTGGCCATTACCTGCTATCCAAAATTGTTTAGTGTCAATTTTCTGGTCAGTGCCACCTAAAGATTTTGTCATTCCAGTCAATTCTCAGGTGTGACATTCAAATCCTGTTGAATTTGAAATCTGAATAAACCACAAAATTCATTTAAGTAGTACGACAAGACACAAGAAAAAATAGCTGCTTTTTAAATATACTTTACACAAGAATATGTAGAATATTAATAGGCCTAAGCAGAGGTTAAACAAAGGTGGTTGCATTCAAAGTCTTTCAAACAAACACAACAGTCAACTTTCAAAAAAAAATGTATTAATAATCCAAAACAGAAGCTGTTAGAAATGTGTGATAGCATTCCAATAGCCCCCCCAAGTTGATAATGACAAACAACAAATTAATAAATGATTGTCTGCTAAACATTTCAAATAATTACAGTACATGGCAAAACAAAGTATCAAAGAATCAGACAGACAAAATGTACAGAACCAAAGTCTATGCATTTCAACTCTTTAAAAGCATCTCCCCATTTACAGAGCTTAGACCTTTTTAAACAATTTTTATTTTCAGCTGATCAATATTTTGAAAATTGCTCTTTGAATCCTATGCATGAAAAAGAACAATAATTTGAATGCAAAATGGTTACACTTTCTTTTTGCCTTGCACCATCCCCAACAAGGATTTAAACTTTTTAAGGTTTTTCCTGTTAAAGTGACTCTAAAACAACCTAAGAAACAGAATGAAACATCACCTTTCTGTATGATGTGACTGTCACTTCATTTCTTCATCCATGCTCAGCAATTCTGGATTTTTTTCTGCATTTTCTCATGCACAAGGAAACAAAGAAGGCCAATGACAAGGCAGTCCATAATAATGAAATGTTTGCTTATCAACAGTGTGAAACAGTACCAGTTGGCAGCCTTCTATGCTGCCCTTTCCATCCTCAACTTATTGGTACATCATACAATTCAAGAAAAAGGTCAAAATGAATGAAGATGAATAATAATGGAAAATCTTGGTCTTCTTTAGGAAGGAAATCATTGTTGAAAAATGTCAAAAAAGGACGGAAAAATTATGAACAGAGGATGATAGTATATGGCAAATGAAATGCTGAAGTTCCATGTTGTAGTTTTAATCTAATGTGAAGAATTTTTAAGTCACTGACTATCTCCTGATCTTCTGCATCCAAGAAGTTATTGAAATCTAGACTACTTGTAAGTGATGAGTAATGCAATCTTTTCAACCTCAAATGTTTGAAAATGAGAAGTTTGCTGAGTGTTCCATTTGTTGGAAGTATATTGAAATCATCACTGTAATTGTTGTCAGCATTGCAAGAATATTATTCAGATATACTGCTGGGCCCAGTTGCTTGAAAGCTGATGAACACCAATCCAGGTTTCTTCATTCATTAGGTCAAAAACCTTTCTCAGACAATTTTCTCTATTCTTTTAAAGAGCATCCAATCATCAAATTGTAGACAAAAAGAATTATAATGAATTCCCTTTCAAAGTTTTCAGATAAGAAATCAGATTTCACACTTACCATGGCTTATCATAACCATCCTTCCACAACCAAGCCCTAGAAATTTTTTCTTTAGTTGGGCAAAAATTTAGGGTTGGTGGATGAATTATAATGTCAAATTTTAGCTTGAGTAAGATAAGTGAATTCATAAAAAAGTAAACAAACTGTTTTGAAAACACTTTCACTAGAAATTACAGTCCTTTGTCATATATTTATTTAAGCATGTAAGGTGTTTCAACTGCCATTGAGTGTGGCTGTATTACATCAGACAGATTTTAAATACATGTGCACGATAATGGATTGCACTGGCACAGTTATTTACAATGATGATGTTAGGTCTTGTTAACCCTTTAACTCCCTGGATCTGATTGTTAATTCTCCTCTCTAGCTGCTACACATTTTCTTGTAAATTAGTTGCAAGAATTTGGTGTTAGATCAAGATAATAACTTCTACCTGATACAATTGAGTACTCTCATTACCTGTTTGCTGGATAGTGAATTGATATTGTAGGGAGAGGTTACATGTGAATCACTTCTGAGAGTTAAAGGGTTAAAAACAAGAACTCAACCATCTAGCTACAAAAAATGACTAGAGATACTATGAGGGCCCTGATTGGTCAAAAACCTTGTGTCCATTGCACTGATAAACCATTCAAAATTGAAACATTCAAGTTTAATTTATAAAGGCACATTTATACACTGCACATTTATTTAGTTTACTGGGCAATAACTCACTCAGCATGTTGGGAGAGTATGACAAAAGTTTTTCAATCACTCTGGCCTGTGATTTACAAAACTTTTCGCATGTTCTTCCAACATCAACATCAATAACATAGGTTATTGGGTTACTATGCCAATAAACTGGTAGGAAGTGGGGTTTATTGCTTAGGTAAACATTAGTGGCAGGATGACAAAAAGCACCTCCTTGCATGTTACAAAATAAGTTATAAGTACAGCAAGCGAAAGATGTCCCCTAACAATCAAATTATGCGACAGTCCAGAATAAAAAAGCTGCTGTTTGATAATGAATTTTACTAAAAAAGTGTATGCGCTTTCATAATTTTTTTCTGGGAAGGGGCAGCTGTTCCTACGCTAAGTAAGATGTTGTTGTATAACAAGGCTAACCACTTCAGTAAAATGATCACTTCCCCATATAAGAAGTTAGCTCTTTTCTGCATTGTTATGAGGGTCTAATTTCCTTTAGTCTCTATTGGAAATTTTCTCACATGTGGCATTCCAGCTTAGTATGAAAGTTCGATTTTGGAACTAGCCAGCATATCATAATTTTCTAGAAGAGTCGCGGCCGCTGCGAAAATATGATAGCAAAAGTTTACCTGGGGATTCTTTGTTATGCAAAACATTTGGTCACACGTCGGAGAATTCATCCTACAAAAGAGCGCTTTCGGCTAATGCGAAAAAGCTGAATATTACTAGTAGGACCGCGGTACAGAGAACCTTGAGTGAAAGCTTCACCCAATACCGTGGTAGAAAACAAATGTTTCGAATAGAATTTAAGAATAATAAGCGTTCTATTTACTAAGTCTCGTGTGTTAAAAAGATCAAGGGCGTAATATAGCCGAATGAATATTTATCTTACACCGCGTTCGTTTAAATCTATCCGAAAATATATCGCTCGCGGTAAAGTGCGAACGCGCTTAATGGAGTATCGTCGGTATTTAATAAGTTGCAATGTTGTCGCAATAAATATTGCTCGATACGAGGGTACGAAGTAAACAAACCCGTTAATTATTCTTGCTCTCAACTGCTTTAAATAAAGCGACGCTCAATTGTGACCAATTGAAATAGCAAAGTTTGTGAAAAGACTGCCTCAATTGTCCGTGGCTAACAAACCGCAATTCAAATGTTAATTGGCCACTGTAAAGAACTTCTACAGTTGACGTTTCGAATGCACGATCAAGCGAAATCTTTACCTGTAGCTACTGAACGATTGGAAAACAAAATAGATACACAAAAATAGCTTGACGATATTGGAAATATCATTACGAAAGCGACAATACAATTTACAATGATACATTATGGGCAAAGGACATCGAAATGTGCGTCTACGTTGAGTTTGTTGGAGGAGGACTGAATAGGAAAAAAATAAACTGTTTGGCATTTTAACCTAACATCTGCCACGAAATAATTAATAAAAATATTTTGCTGAAAAAACTCGAAACAGTTGGTCAGAATCCATCTTCCAGCTGAGAGTAATCAATCCATACTCATTTCAGTGGAAATAGCTATTTATTGCGACCTTCTGGAGGACTGTCAAAGTCATAAGATGTTTTCAATTCAACATTCGATTTTGAAATATTTTCTATTAAGAGCTACAAAGCCATGATTATATATTAACATAAAGTGACGACTGCAGCGAGGAATTGACATCTATACTGAACAATCACAAGCCCTGGAAATCAGAATAAAAGGGATGATTTCCTAGAAACCACCGAAAAAAGCTCCAAGGTTAAACTACAAGGTTTATAATTATTAAGTTTGTAAATTCGAATGCCATAGTGAAGGCACTTCGCTAACCTTGAATGATACAAAAATGTGTGCTTATGTCAAACTAGTTCTACAAACTTCATTTCAAAAATATCAATTCTTTTAATAATTCAAAGGAAAACGTTGAAGTTTTCAGGGCGAACTCTAGCTCAAATCTAGTATACATACATCACCGCACTGGTAGCCATCTTTCAACTGCAATGTTCTCCGTCACTTTCCATAACGTGAGCAGAACTCCTGTTCCATAAGTGCAGTGTCAATGAAAGGAAATCACAAATTCTGGAACTTCTTGTATTTGTCATCCCAGCTCTCAGTTTTTTGCTGTTTGATGGTGCTTCTTAGCGGTTTAGATGTTGGTCTCTGGGTCGATGCATGTTGCGCAGTTGGAGGAGGTACTACTACTGGAGTTGGTACTACTGGAGTTGGTTGCGGACGAGCAGGTTCTGGAGCAGGTTCTGGAGCAGGTTCGACTTCAGAGTGATTCACGGTACCATTTGTCGTTGGTGCAGGCAATGACTCCTCCTCCTTCTCCAATACCTCGTTCAGTTGTTTAACTTCCTCGGGTGTAGTTGCCTCGTTCGCCACTTCGGCAGAATCAACTTCGTTCGTGCTCGATTCGTCTGTTATGGTCGGTGCTGTTTCCACGGTGTTCGACTCCTCCACTTCGGGTTCGGGTTCTTCTTCCACAACAACTGGTTGTGGCGGCTCTGATGGTACTGGCTCACTCTCAACTTGTTTGTTCTGATAAACTGTCATTAGATTAGCCATATCAGCGGTTATGGGGCGACCTTCTTGTTTCAAATACGCCTCAGTAATATGGTCACAAACCAACATGGAAACTTCGGTCACGTTCATCTTGATCCGCTTGACAACATCGCCGTGAGACATATTCTCAATATTCATTCCATTTACCTCGATCACTTTATCCCCGACTCGAAGGCCTGCTTTCTGCGCTTCACTGCCATCGTCAACAGCGCTGATACTTTGCCCCGCTTGAATATTTCGCTCGCCATGGAGGTTAAACCCATAGCCACCTTCTCCTCGTTTCATCACAACGAGCCGAGGAGCTGAAACGGTGTCAGCGTCATATTCCATGCTCATTTTCCCCGGAAAATATACAGAGAAAGGGAAGGAAAGAATCTGTAGCTAACTGTGATTAAATCTGTCGCAAATCGATTCCCCGAATGTTGCGTCTTCCTGCCCTTCTAACTCAAACAATTCAAGTAATCTAATGAGAGGAGAATAAATTATTATGTACATTCCTTATATGGAGCCCCCCCGCCCAAATATTCTATAGTTTCCGGTGAAGTCGAGTAGAGTCCATTTCGTTTTCGCTAAATTCGAAAAAATTCCCGCTAAAAACTGAAAAAATAACATAAAATTGCTGTATCAAACCATTCTCATGATATCAGGAAAAATTTTGACTCTCTTACTTTAGAACTCTTGAAACATTTTGATACAGAAGGTTGCAAATAGTATAAACAAAAAATAAAAAAAGGGGAAAAGAAGTAGTTCAGTATGTATTTAATCAACTGATGCCACAAAATGATTGTCAGCCCCCGAACTAAATTTAAACCGAAATAGGTGGCCCCAAAACCATTTTTGAGAGAGATAACCTTCATAGCGGTGTGTAATTAACTTTTCTTGCACTTTTGAAATCTTTTCTATTTGTTTATTGAACTGCGAAATGCTTAAAATTACTGAATGTAGTTCGATTCATGCTATTTTCTAGAAAATTCCCAACGTATGAGTCACTGAATCGAAAAAAAATTACGTTTTGTTCTAGTTGCTAAGATGAAACATAATGTCCAAGAAAATCCTTTGTTTTTAGCACTTCTGTCGGAAATTATTGCTATCTTCGCCCACACTATTAAAACTCCCACGCGTTTCCCACGCAAGAACAAAGTTCAGAGGAAGCCAGGGTACCCTTAGGTACTCTCAGGGTGGTATCGTCTCCAATTAAAGAGTGAAGCTGGGGTCAAGTTTGCACAATGCGAGCCAGCGATTCATGACTGGTCAAAACAATATGGCGGAATTCTATGGTAGTAGTGCCAACTATGAATCTCAGGCAAAAATGAGTTTCAGAGCGTTTGAAATAGCACCAGTGATCGAGCGAATAGTGACTACTTCTGCAGATAGACCAAAAACGGTAAGTTAACTTTGTATATCTCTTCTTTTCACCCATAAAATAGATTGAAATACGATGAAACCGATTGCTATAGAGCTATTTATTTTTATGAAATTAATTAATTCCAAAGATATCTATTTTTGAGAATGCTGCATGATAAAGCTGAAGATTTACTATTCATGCCTCTTACGATTTGTTTACCTGTGATCAACCCTTCTACATGTATTTCTGAATGTTAAAAACTGACCGATCCTGAGGTACCGCTCGGCGTAGATCTAAATGGGCAACGTAAACTGCGCAAACTTTAAAATTGAAAATTGATATAATTTTTCAGTGCGCACTTTTGTGAAATTGAAGAATATCGAGAGAGATTTGTTGGAGTCATCCATTTTCATCAGTTTTTTAAGTATCAGCGTTAATCTTATCAACTGACTGATAACAATGATAATTCCTACTATCAAGTATTTGTTGATATTGGTCAATATCGCGAAAGTTTTAGAAATGAATATTTCTACTGGTTGCCTATTACAGGAAGTTGTTAAGACTACTCATCAAATCTTTGAGATCTGCATGGAATCTTGTGCAACATTTGTTAGGGATCCACTTTTTTTTTACCCTATATTCATAACAAAACCAATAACTTTCTTCTCTAATGATGACGTTTTGACCAGGTGGAGTGCCTTGATTGTGCAGCCCAGAATTTATACATTGGTACATCAGATTGGTATGTATTTTTTTAATGAAATGTGCTTTTACCTTATTTAAACACACACTTGAGTACCTTAACTGCAAGTTTAGTTATAATTGAATGATAGTTTGGTCATGTGAAAAATTTTCATATTTTATTTAATTCCTAGTAACCAAGATTCACTGAACAGAACTTTTGCTATGTTTATTTCTCAGTTTTGTCCTGAACTATGTGATTGATGAAGGTGTTTCACCATTGGGAAAGACAACATTTCAGTCAAGACTTCAAGCTTGTAAACATCTTGGAATGGTTTGTTAATGCATATTTTCATTTGTGTATGAAAATCTGCCTTTGTCCCAATATCTAGCTATGTACCTAAGTTGAAGGTTGTAATATCTGGGAGGCGAAGGTTTGAACCCTGCTGCTATTTGATTAGTTTCAAGCTTCTTTTTCCTGCAATTTCCTCACCTGTGAGATTTAGTCCTTAATTACAGTAATAATATTGTTATATGTTATTAATAAATGATATTATCAATAATAATTACAATTGCACTGCATACAAAATGTCTAGAAATTTTTAGTCAGTAAATGTTGCTACCTTTTCAGCCAAGCTATTTTGATACTGTAAATTTAGGAAACCATGCTATTGAAAATGATCAAGGTGGTGCTTTTTCACTCTAAGAGGTGAATCTTGTTCCAATTGACAGAAAAAGCCAATACAACAAGTTTTGACAGCTCCGGCAATAAACAGACTTCTAGTTCTGTGTGATGGTAAGTTGAAGCCTTATTAATGGTGTAGATTACTTGAACATATCCCATTTGGTCCATTGTCCTTTCTCCATAACTCTTTACAGCCAAATATCAGTTTGCAAGTTCTCCATTCTGTTCTGTACATATTACCTATGGTACTTCTAAAAGAATTTGCGTAACAATCAAGAGCCTCTTGACCTTATGACCATTGCTTTTATTCTCGTGACCTTATTGTTTTATTTGGGAATGATGCTGTGAGGAGAAATAAGTTGTTTATCACTCTCAGGGGTTAAAAGGCTAATTTTGAACATCATGACTGAAATGCATTTTCATTCCATACCACTAGGTAGTATTTTGATGTTTACTATGTTTGGCATGGAGGTGAGGATTTTTTTTCCATGAGTATGGCTAAAGCAGATATTGAAGTATGTAACTGAGTGCTTCAGTTCCCTCTCTGGTGCTCAATAACTGTCACAGTGAATGGCATTCTGAAATGACTAAAAGTGATAATGTGATAGATTAGTGTAGTCTGATCATCTGGGTGAGAGTAGTCATGATAAGGACTGTTGTTCGACAACCTGAGCGAAAGCAATCATGAGAGTCAAGGCAACATTCACAGTCTTGATTCAAATGATGACTTCTGCTCAGGTTGTTGAAATGTTAGTCAACAACAGTCCTTTTCGGGACTACACTCACCCGGACGATCAGACTACACTACCACATGTTGCCCTCGGGTTCAAACCATTTACTGTAAAAGTGATAATCAGGATTAAACTTCCTGCCTGTTTTCCCAGCCTGGCATCTTTTTAGCCTTTCCCCAGCTGACTAACAAATTTGGGAAACTTGTAATCCTGACTGGTGCATCATGTCCTTTGGAATGCAGTTTTTGTCAACATTTTGTACATTTTGTTGCAGTTTCTGGCCACTGGATTTAAGGACAGATTTAAAGGGGTATGTATGTTTGTTTTTTACTGGCATGGAACATAGTATTCATTCCACATTTAGAAATTCCAGCGATTGGCTGTTATTGTTATTTTTAATAGTTCAGGTATTTAATTGTTATGTTTTCCACAGATGTGTGCATAAATTAATAATTATTGTGACTTTTACAGTACCCAATGTGGTGTATCTGTATACACTCAGATGTTGTAGTGCTGTATACAATGCTAATGATTATCTAGTGTAAAACAGGTCAGTCAAAGAAGAACCTTCATATAAAAGGTTCTGTGATTTAAAGTAGTTAGTTCTAACATGAGAGGGATTATGATAATAGCAACAGTCATGTAACATCCTCAATGTCTGTAGAGGAGTAAGTTTAAAAAATATAGAGGTAGGTAGGGTCTTTGGCAATCTTTTTGTATCATCAGTCTCAAATGAGAACTGAAGCAGTGAAAGAAATAACAACAACCGTGAATTCAAAACTTTTTCATAATATCCAACAGTTTTTGGTCCATGAGTAGGTTGAACTTCTTAATGCTCACATTTCAAGAATAGTTATGAAATGCCAGGTAACAGTCAAACATCAGTAATGTCTTTTCAAGTCAGAACTTTAATTAGTTACTTCTTCTACTTCTCATTGATGATGTTGTTTAATTTTTTTTTGCTTTTCAGGTGACAGCTATTTGTAGAAATGATAATCCAAATATGTTTGACCCATTTGCTGTTGAGGTAAAGTATTTTGTTCTCATTGTTGCACTGTTATCTTTAGTTGTAAGGTATTTGACCAGTTGAATAAATGTTGAAAGTTTAAAACAATATGCATCGCATTAAAGAATGATGTTCAACTCACCTATTTGTTTAGAGAAAAGGACAACAACAAAATTTCATACTATACTGTGTGTGACCTTAGTGCCCAGTGTGTGCACAGTGTGCATATACATGTAGAAATGTCAAGAGCTACAAGGAAGCAATCCCCATTGATATAAATTTCTTTTTTTCTGATTAAATGAGCCTCATTTTTCCCGAAATTCAAACCAGCAAAACCAAAAATGTGAAAAGAATTTGGTAGCAGAGTAAGTTTTTAAACTTAAAGGTGTATGGTAGGAGAAGTCAAATGTTATTTAATGCTTTAAATTGTGTGTAAATTTCAGGTGTGTATGTCACTCTCCAAAAAGAAAGCCATCCATATTCTCTCTGTTACTGAAGACAGGATAACTCTATTGAAAGAAATACCACTTCCAGAACCTCCACTTCACATGGTAATGATCAAATTTTTCTTCTTAATATATAGTGATATGAATCATTTACACAAAATAAATTACTTTCTTAGCATTGATGAACATTCAAAGTAGAAGTAGCCTCTGATCATCTTCCATTGATAAGCTTTTGTGCAGCTGTACTTCTCCCCAAGGTTCCATCCCTTCTGTTTCTCCTCAAGGGGGGGGGGGGGGGG